TCATATGTTCGTTTCTCTGGAGACCCACCCCCTTAGAAACGTCACACATAGTTATCGATATTTTGTTCTTTAATATAGTACACATAAGGTAATTTTCTAGTATTTTCTACGGTCGGCTATTGGCGATGCTTCCGTGAGGAACATGTCATCAAAATTTCCAACGTTTCTCAAAACAACTTTTTTTGCATGAAATATTGATAATTTTAGCGCGTTTTTTTTTTAAACTTGAGTCTTTTATAATGCAAGCCAGGCGTAATAATATAAATGTATACGTATATAGAACAGGTACGGTTTATTCTGCAAAGATGATTCCGAAATGTCAAGTCTTTCGAAAAACTATCGAATTTTTCCATGATGTTTACTGAGAAACGTCACAGCTGCAACACCCCCCACCACCACCACCACCACCACCACCACCCCCACCCCCAAACGAACTATGACGTTTCTCGTGGAAAAAATCGAAGAGTGAGAGGGTCCTGAAGGGTGGGGGGGTCCCAATCCCATTTCCCACCTGAAATTTTGGCAAAATCCCAGTCCCAGTTGGATTTTTATTAGAAATCCCAGTCCGAGTTATTGAAATCCCAGTCAATAAAAACCCTTTATTTATCGGTACAATAAACAGTTTTAAGACTTTTAAGCCACCGTGTGTGCAAGTGACGCACACTTTATGAAATTTGGGTGGGGGCTTGTGCCGAAGGCACGGAAAATTTTTAAATTTGAATCCCGAAAATGGCATTTGCAGCATTCTGAGACACGCATAATCAGAAAACCCAGAATTCCGGGCGCCAGAGTATGCCTGTTTGCAGGTAGTGCTGTGAATAATATAGTTAATAACAGAAATCATGACCAAAGACACCAAAAACAGATCAAAATTGTATTTTAATGCTTAAAACGTAGAAAAATTGGGAATCGAGTCGCATTACCTCAATCCCATTCCCACTTTTGAGGACTTCATTTCCCATTCCCAGTGGCCAAATCCCAGTCCCAGCAACCCAAATCCCATTTTCCCAGTCTAAAAATAGATTAATCCCAGTTCCCATTTTACCCCTTCAGGACCCTCATGTGAGGCTTCCCTAAAATTATGCTTTTTCTTTTACTAAAGGCTGATTTCCACTGTTGCGTTTTTCATACGTACGTATACGCACGTAAAACTTTAAATCCGTTTAAATGTTACTTATGAAATAACCAAATAAATAAAGCAACAGAATTTAGTGTTCCGCAAGTTTTAGTATGCATTTGTTAACTTACCCGTAAAATATTTAAAAAATAGAAGGATTCAAAGTTTTACGTGCGTGTACGTGCGTACGAAAAACGCAACAGTGGAAATCAGCCTTAACCCAGCATAGAAAATTCCTATTTTAGTATTTATTTCGCGTTAAGTAAATTCAATTCAAACTTCATAAATAACATTCTGATATGTCGGTCATAAATTCAAATGTACATTTTTGTGTCGTATTTTGTAGTGCCGTCGCCACAGAAACATAGAACAGAGATATACTATTGCTCGAGTCAGGATTCGAGCCAGGACTCGAGTCAGGACTCGAGCCAGGACTCGAGTCAGGACTCGATAAAAAAATGCGAAAATACGGGGAATTGCCATTACCCAATGGTTTTGTTTCATAAGACACGTTACGCAGGCTAGCTAGTTCTACTACTAGCAAATTACATACAACCTTTCAATAATTACGCTAATCACCTTGTGTACTTTACCAATGAGAGCGAGGTTCCAAGACCAAAAGGTATGTGTAATTATCGAAAGGGTGTATTTGGTAATTCAGTTATAGCCAGCGTGGCCGGCTCTTCTATAATACAGTTTGGTGATATTGGCGTCTATTACAGGAAAATAAGGCAGGGAGAAGCAGGTTGTGACGTAGCACTGAACATCAATTGAATTGAAAAGTTCCTGACACGACAAAAAGTTATCCCGCTAAGCGGGAAAGTTGTGTTCATATGGGGAAAACATCCCGGTCACCGAGATCTCGCCTGTCAACAAGCGAGATCTCGGTACACGGGAAAACTTTTCGTCTCATATGAACGCAATGTAACTTTTCATATTATTTTCGTAACAAGGCGAGATCTCGTTCGTAAACTTGTCGAAAAGTTTTCTCGCTAACCGGGATAACTCTGCCCATATGAACAGGCCCTTAGTCAAATGAGATTGACAGCTCTGTATGTACAAATATACCAAATATCAACTTTCGTTCTTTAGTTTCTTTTATCGAATCTGGCGGGAAAAGGCGGGAAATTGATTTGGTAAACAGGTTCTCTCACTTCCCATTTGCCAAACATTCCTTAGGTTATCGATAAGCAATTCCTCAGATTCAGTTAAATTTCATAAACATATATTTCGCATTGTTGGTGAACGAATAGTCTAAATTTAAGGAAAGTTCCTTAAAAGTGAGAACGCTGTTGGTAAATTTTCATCCATCAAAATCACTTGACGTCATTTTTGGCTCGAGTCCTGAATCGAGTCCTGGCTCGAGTCCTGACTCGAATCCTGACTCGATATTTAGGTACCCTCCATAGAACATATTGATAAAAATTCTAGGCTAGGGGGAATGGAAACACGTGGAATGTTCTATTATACTTATAGTTTTTTAAATCAATCAACTAAATCAATCAACTGAATCAAGGAAAGAATAATCGGTCTTTCTGAATTCTGGCCGTATTTTTGAAATATACTCTGGCCGTATTTTTGAAATATATCTTGGGTCCTCTTTTGTTTTTATTATATATCAATGATTTAGCAAATGTTTCCCAACAATTCTAACTAAAGTTTTGAAGGAGGAGACTGAAAAATTATCTGAATGGTTTAAAGCAAATAAGTTATCATTAAATTTAGATAAAACGAAATTCATGTTATTTAAGCCAAAACAAAAGAAGGGAAGGTTGAATATAAATTTGTGCATAAATAATCATGAAATTACTCAAGTAAGTGAAATTGTGTTTTTGGGAGTTGTCTTGGATCAACATTTGTCATGGAAACCGCAGATTGCTCAAGTTGCAAATAAAATATCTAAATCCATAGGAATAATTTATAAATCAAGTTTCTACCTATTTAAAGAAAGCATGCGCACGTTATATTTTTCTTTAGTTTACTACCAGAGTAATTTATATCGTATTATTTTACTTCAGAAACGTGTTGTCAGAATTTTAAGTAGGAGTAATTTTGATGCACATACAGATCCTATTTTTAAATAACTTCATATAATGAAATTTTGTGATATTTGCTCATTGCAAATGGGCCAGTTTATGTTTTCCTATAAACATGGATTGTTGCCTGCATGTTTTGATAGTTTTTTTATACTGAATAGTGAAGTACATAGCTATCTGACTAGAAATTCAAAATCTTTCCACCTGCCGTTGTGTCGGACAAATATTTGTCAGTTTTCAATACGATATCAAGGTCCGAAGTTTTTTAACTCACTTGGGGATGAAATTGTTAATTCTGTTTCTTTTCAAATTTTTACTTTCAGGCTTAAAAGTTTATTTCTTTGAATTGTAACCATCAATATAGCCATTCATCGAATATGTTAAACTACCGTATTACATTTAATGTTAGATGTTGCCATTTTGCATTTGCTTATTTATATAATTTTCTGTAATCCATTTCTGGGAGGAAATCCATGATTTCATAAGCCTTTAGGTTTCTTTTTTGGATTTCCTCGCCATATGTAATTTTATTTTTTTATTTATTTATGTGTATTTGTTTGTGAAAGTTATATTGGCAAATTATTAAAATTCAAAAAAAAAAATTAAATACAAGTTCGTGACATTTATGAATCTGGTCAGACTGAATGAATGTAGCATAACATTCAAAAACAAAGCTCTCTCAGCGTGTCAGGAAAAGAATATATATTACGAATATATTTACAAAAAGGGTTTTACTAGCTGTGGTAGTTTCTTTCATCTGAGATATGTTAGTCAGAAAGAAATTGTTTACTTTTAGCGCCTCTCAAGAAATATGTTAATAAGCTATAAATTATGCAAAAATCATTGATTATGGGCTCCAGAAAATCTTAACTCGCGCCAAATACAGATTGATACCCGCAGGTTTTTCTTCCGATCTTCTGAAAATAAGTATAAATCATTACAGCCAAGCACATTTCAGCGTAATTTTAGGTCCCCATTTGGAGATCTCAGGCTTCGATTTTAGTGTAATTTTGTAGACCGAACAAGAAGCAAAAACCGGTGTGCCGTCAAGTTGCTATCGTTTATTCACGATTTGTTCAAATGCTCTTATTTTTTGGAACAGGGAACCTGAATTGTATCTTAACTTGCTGATCTAGTTGAAATTTGGAAATAGTCAGGCGTTTTGACTCAGCGCGGCTCTACAATTTACCGAAATTCAACCTTCGATTTTGCTTGAAAATAGCTCTGCACGGGTGAAATGAGTTTCGGCGTCTAGCGAAGCCATAAAAAAGAATTTTCAAAAAATAAATTTATTTTGGACACTTGTATACCAATGCCTTTCAACACACAAAAAATAAAGGAAATCTATTTTCCGAAGTCAAAGTCATCGGACCGCTCTTAGCGGGACTGCCACTTAATTGCACTCATTCCCGTGTGATTACTGTAACGATATTTATAACTTTATTACTTCGATTAGTATATAAACATGTCTGAATCTCAGTTTGTCAGTGACGTGCCTAAAACAATTATTCCCGTTCTTTATTACTTCGATTAGTATATATAAACATGTCTGAATCTCAGTTTGTCAGTGTCGTGCCTAAAACAATTATTCCCGTTCTTTATTACTTCGATTAGTGTATAAACATGTCTGAATCACAGTTTGTCAGTGTCGTGCCTAAAACATGGAGGCCTAAAAAGTCGACAACAACAACGACTCGCGTGACTCTCCCTCTCAATATAAAATTGTTTAACGGCATCATAGTGTTTACGCCTAACATATACCTAACATTTTTGTGTTCCAACGAAATTGTTTAACGGCATCGTAGCGTTATGCCTAACATATAACTATAAATAATGGGTGATAATTCTTAGTGTCTCTCGTAATCGTTATGCCAATCGGGCGAACGTCGCTCTCGCGTAGTTCGACGAGGGATTGTTTCTTCTTGTCCCGCGTCACTTTCACTCGGCGTTCGACCTCCATTACTGCCAGAACTGCCTAACTGATTTTCATTTCCTGTTTCATGGTTTAAAGGTTTAGTTGGGGTGCTATGTTCCACGACTGGTAAACTTGGGGTGAGGTCCTTTTCGATCGGCTCGCTCGGTTCGATTTGGGAATCTTTCGCGTTCTTTCGCGTGCCATCTCTTTGGTCGCACGTAGATGACGGCGATCACCGGGAAGTTTCATTCTAATAGCGCATCCACTTTGTAGGGGCTCAAGCAGTTTACATTTCTTGTTATACAACCTTGCTTGTTTTGCTTTGCGGTTCTCTAATTCCTTCTTTGTTCCGTTTTGCTCCGGTGTTTTAAGAAGACTCTGATGTGTGGGAAGCAATGTACGAGTACGTCGACCCATTAATCTTTACGCTGGTGAGGTCCAATATTTTCAGTCGGAGTGTCCCTCTGAAAATATTGGACCTCAATGCTAATAGAGGATCTTCACCGCTGGCTTTTGTTTTCTTTAATAGGGATTTACAGGTTTTCACTGCATTTTCGGCACGTCCATTAGATTGAGGATAGTGTGGGCTCGATGTTCGGTGTTCAATTTGCCACTCGTTTGTAAACTGGGCAAATTCCGCTGACGTAAACTGAGGACCATTATCGGAGATTAGGGTGTCCGGAATTTCATGCCTCGCAAATTGGACCTTTGATGCAGTGATGACAGTTTTCGATGTAACTTTTGATAACTCTTGAACTTCAAAGAGCCCACTCCAGTAGTCAACAATGATAAGAAATTGCTGATGTCCCAATTGAAATAGGTCCTCTCCAACCACTGACCATGGTCGTTGTGGTAGGTCGTAGGACTTCAGTGGTTTACGACACTGCTCCGGCTGGTGTGTTTGGCATATGGAGCACTTTGAAACATAATCTTTCACCTCCGCATTCATTCGTGGCCAATATATCACTTCCCGTGCTCGCCGCAGACAACCCTCAATACCTATATGGGACTTGTGAATTTGCTGTAGCATTTCTTTTCTTAAGGATGAAGGCACAACGAGTCTTTCGCCAAAGAAGACTAATCCATTATCTTCAATAAGTTCGCTTCGATTGTTATAGAATGGAATTAGTGTTGGTGGACATTGTTTCCGGTCTATTGCCCATCCTGTATTGATAACGGTGATGAGTTGTTGCATCATTGGGTCTGTTGATGTACATTGTTTAAACTGATTTAACCTGTTCGGACCTTATGTCATGTTCGGCAGACTCGGTTGTAGTTCGGTATGTTCGACTCAGAGTGTCTGAAATCTACATTAATGTTCCTTTCTTGTAATGAATTTCCAGCGTGTAATTCTGTAGGGCCATTAACATTCTTTGCAATCTTTTAGGCGATTTGTGGATAGGCTTTGCGAAAACTGCTTTCAGTGGTTGATGGTCTGATTCAATGTGTACAATCTCGCGACCAAGGATGTATTGATCAAATTTGTTGGTGGCCCAAACGATTGCCAACAATTCCTTTTCAATTCGGGCATACCTGGTTTGTGTCTCCGTCAGCGCTCTTGAGGCATACGCAATTGGCTGGTCTTCTTGCAACAACACGGCGCCAAGTCCGGTTTCACTGGCGTCACACTGTATTGTTACCTCTTTAGTGACGTCGTAATAAGCAAGTACTGCGGTTTTCGCAAGGTAGTCCTTTACTGTTTTAAATGCTTTTTCGTGTTGCTCTAGCCAACACCACTCAAAATCCTTGTCTTCGAGCTTTCGTAGTGGTTGAGTCATGTCCGATAACAATGGTAGGAATTTGGCGAGGTAGTTGACCATCCCTAGAAAACACTTTACACCTTTGACATCAGTTGGAGAGGGCATTTCAAGAATAGCTTCTACTTTGGCCGGATCTGGCTTTAGCCCTTCGGATGTGAGGAGATGCCCCATGAACGCCACTGACGACTGTGCTCGCTTTAGCTTGCTCTTGTTCAACTTTAAGTTCCATTCTCGACATTTTTCGAAAAACACCCGTTCATTCTTTTCTAAACTCACATTGACCTCTTCTTCAATATTCCCAAAACCAGCAATGAGAAAGTCGTTACTTCGACACCGTCTAATCCTTCTACGAACTCGTGCATGCGACGCTGCCAAGCCTCAGGAGCAACGGGACTAGCTAACAGTCGTGGGTCGTGGGTCGTGGGTAGAATGTCGTGGGTCGTGGGTAAAATGTCGTGGGTCGTGGGTAAAAAGGCGTGGGTCGTGGGTAAAAGGCGTGGGTCGTGGGTAAAAAGGCGTGGGTCGTGGGTAAAAAGGCGTGGGTCGTGGGTAAAAAGGCGTGGGTCGTGGGTAAAAAGGCGTGGGTAAAAAGTCGTGGGTCTCGAATAAAAAAACGTGGGTCCCAAATAAAAAGTCGTGGGTCCTGAGAAAATGCCGTGGATTCCAAGCAAAATATTTCTATATATTTACCTTTCTCCCTTTAGAATGCGTGTTTTTTTTTTCTGAAACTTTCCCAAATATACGGGTGTAGGTAAAACATGGCCCTGGTCCATGGCCCAGGCCATGGCCCAGTGTATGGCCCCACCCTTGGCCCACCTATTTTTCCTTCAGTTTTAGATGTGTAAATTATGTCAAAATTATTTTAACGTGTTGAGTTCATATACGTTTCGTACTATATTATATAATATTGATTTGAGCTATTAAAATACGAAATAAGTTTTGACTAGTCACCAGTGCGTTTTACGATTAGTACATAATATGGACTATTACATAAAGTACGAACAACTAAACAACTCATGTTCACGTGAGAGAATCAATGTCGGCCGCATGGCGCACAACTACATCGTTTCGTGGGGTGAGTTTTTATCGTTTCTTTTAGCTTTTTGGGTGGTCTATTATAGGGGGTACGCATGTCCGAAAACCACGCTGTTTTTCAAATTTTAACCGCAAAGCGCGTACTCATTTCTCTTTTAAACGTAACCGCGTTCAAACCGAGGCATATTGAAGGGGAAGGGGAATTGTTTAGGTTTGGTAACATGCACAGTTAACCCCTGGGATAAACACGTGGGATTTTTTTTCACATACCGGTATGGTCAGTGGTATCTAAAAATCGTTCAGTTTGAATAGTTTAGACTTCATCTTACCCTAATTATTTATAATTCAGCGCATGCGCAAATAAAATTTTTTCTAGTGTGCATGCTTTACATGCTTGAACCTGATAATTTTGGACGTTTATATGCAGATTTATGGGTGGAAAGGGGCTGTAACATGATTTTTGGTGATTAGCATATCCGAAAATTATTGCTGACCGAGGAAATAATTGAAATTAAACAAAAAACAGGTGGGCCAAGGGTAGGGCCATACACTGGGCCATGGCCTGGGCCATGGACTAGGGCCATGTTTTACCTACACCCCAAATATACATAGTCTTAGAGCGCGTTATTAAGGCCGGGTTTTTGATATCGGCAGATCGCTTTATAAATATTATAACCAAGGGTGGATGAAACAGTTCAACTTCACGCCCCAGTTATAATCTTATAGAAAGCGAACTATTGTAATTCTTCAATAGGAAATAGTGCTACCATAAATAGCTAAATTGTGACATTCAGGGCTTCACTGTAATTTGTTGATCGTCATGATCGATGTTCTTACAGTAATAAGCGAGAAATTTCACTTGGACAGTTAATGTACTGCAATGTCTGTTTTACTAGGAAAAATAAAAAAAAGCATTTGAGAGATTTCACTTAAATACATATTTAGTATCTAACCATGTTGCAGCAGTGAATCTAGTGTCAAATTTATTATGTGGTTTGTATTTTCTAATGTCAAACATAAGTTACAAATATACAGTCACATACAGTATTTGTAACATTCATGCTTTGACTTACTTTCAGTAGGCTTTTGTCGGATTATTTTACCGTAGGTTTGATAACAGAGAGGTATACTTCTACAGTTCTACATATTTCTTGAGCACCAAGTTTCAGCGAAGTCAATATGGCATGTTGGAATTTGGAAATTTCACAGCGCTCATTTAATAACAGTCCGAGTAGCTTGTTTACATGCAAGGTTTGTTCCGTTTGTAGTTTGCGATATTTCAGAAACCAAAAGATCTCTCAATTTCGTTACAATTCCACATCTCGGTATTAAATAAATTCTTTAGGATAGACTTTAGCAGTTTTAAATAACAGCAACATCGGTTGCATTGGTCTAGAGAATAGAGATATATTTTCTTGTAATGTTTACGACGACGTCGGTAATATCGACAACAAAATTACCGATATGGATATCGATGCATCACCATTTTGCAGACCGGCGATCGTCTTTGTAACCTACAGTTATATCAAATGACCGTATTACCGGTTATAAAAATTTGACTATATCTAGTGGATAGCACTATTCAGCTTTCGTACATGTGGCCCTTGAGCTATTGAAGAATCACAGTAATTAATTTATCTGTCTATAAGATTATAACGTCCATATATTTTAGCTATATGGGGCGTGAACTGAACTGTTTTATATCCACACTTGGTTATAATATTTATAAACCGATCTTCCGATATCGAAAACCCGGCCTTAACGCGCTCTAAGACTATGTATATTTGGGAAAGCCTCAGAAGAAAAAAAAACACGCATTCCAAAGCCAAAGGGAGAAAGGTAAATATATGGAAATATTTTGTTTGGAACCCACGACTTTTTTCTCGGGACCCACGACTTCTTATTCGGGACCCACGACTTTTTACCCACGCCTTTTTACCCACGACCCACGCCTTTTTACCCACGACTCACGCCTTTTTACCCACGACCCACGCCTTTTTACCCACGACCCACGCCTTTTTACCCACGACCCACGCCTTTTTACCCACGACCCACGCCTTTTTACCCACGACCCACTCCTTTTTACCCACGACCCACGACATTCTACCCACGACCCACGACATTCTACCCACGACCCACGACCCACGACTGTTAGCTAGTCCCGTTTAAAACTCCTTGCCGACAAGTAGTTTCGCATTACATTACAATTCAATTTTTCAAATGTAAATATCGCGGCGAGTATTTACCCCCCTTTAAAACAAAACCCACCATTGTAATCCTCACAAAATAACCTTTCGAACGGGGGGTCAAGTGTTGTCGAACATTATACAAACCGAAACAATCATATAGTTATACTCACCGCTTCGCCAAACATTCAAACGATAAAAAGAGAAAAAGTTGAATATCTTCTAAACTTTTAGTCATTTTCTGAAAGGCTATATGTGCAAAATACTCTTTGTATTCAAGCGCTTTAGTGTAGAAAGTTTCGTATGAATACGACGAGTAGAAATATTTATTTTGAATTTTTAAAGTATCGGGTTTTACTCGCACGCGCTTGTATTACGTAATACTTGGCCAATAAGGAGCTCCCTTTAGCCGGGATGACGTCAAACTCACGCGTATGGGTGCACTTTGACCTGTAGAATCCATTTCTGGCATTTCCAGAGTCACGCGATACAAGCGTAGCATTGTTTTGACGGTTTTTCGTCGTATTTCCGGTTGGGATTAACGCATATTCGGAGCAGAAATACAAAATTCGGCACTAAATGTCGAATTTTAAAGATAGAAGCTTGAAAATAACACTATACGTGTTATTTTTAACTTCTTAATACAGCAAGATTATCAGAATGAGCATACGTCTCAATGGGACGAAGTTATATTCGGCGAAAGGTATGTTTATGTTTATAATTTGTCAGTAATATTGCGTAATTTGATCATATACGAGCTCGTTTGACTTTCAAAGCTCATAAATCGCTATAATGTTGCCATTCACTAAATCTATCGATAGGAATGAGTAGCTATCGTTACACTGAATCGAATGGTGGTATTTTGGTCCACGTAGCATTCAATGAACCGAAGATATTAAATCGGCAAAGCGCATTGCTTACAAGCATTGCGGTAATAGGGTCGTGTCGTTAAAGAGTTAAACTTATTTTCCCCACACCACAGCTGACATGTTTTTAACTATTACCCATCTGATCTCATCGATCTCATTTCGCATCGGAAATGCGTCACAACGATCCAGGACTGACAGGTACAATATCGCATGACTCATTACTGTACATTAAAAGTACCTGGTTGGCGAAATGGCGATTGTCTGACCACAGTTAATAGCTGACAGACCTTTGCGAAGGGCTTAATATTTTTGCTAATAAACTCACTGTTCACGAGGGTTTCGTTCTGTTCGTCTTCTGGTTCGTCGTCAATCGTCATCGGCTGCCTCACTTCTTGGTCGCTTTCGTCCTCTTCAAAGCAAGTCGCCGGAGCAAACAGCGTTAGTATTTGCTGTCTTTCCAAGAGCTTCAACGTTGCTTTACAAACAGGGCTATCGCTGATGTTGGGCAGGATGCATTTGATGTGGAACGAAGGTCCACAACCACGGAAAACGTTCCAAGTGGATTAACCTTTTTGCAGGCAGGCAAATCGCAAATCGATAAAAATTTTAAAGGAAGATTTATATTTTATATTTACAGATTTTGATACATTTATAGTCAGTACGTCCTTGGAAATTGTTCCAAAATATGAGTGTGTACCAAAGTTAAAATATTACTCATAATCTCTAGAACATGTTTGAATGTTTTGAATCACTGCAGTTTAGAATTAGCAGTCCTTTAACTCTTTTAAAGACAACAGAACTGGCAGCCATGGCACCCCATAGCTATTTAGTATACAATACTAGTCAATGTAATTAATTACTACCTCCCCCAACCCAGAAGTAGGCAGTTTTTACTTCTCAGCACTGTCACTATCTGTAAATATCTGTGTGTAAATATCTGGTTTTGTCTCGGTGACCCTGCTTTGCCCCACACTTTGGGATTTGAGCAGGCAGGGATTTATATTGTCTGGTATTGGTACATAGTTTACCATAATCACAGGATATTATTGAAAGATTTCCCTACCAATTCACTGCCTTAAAAGCATTATATTATTTGCTCTGTATGTGTGTGTGTTACTTTAAGTGTGCGCTGGTTCCAGAGGCTCTTTGCGAGGCGAAAAAACAAGATGCGAGAACGGAGAGCCTCTGGTCACATCAGGGCCGTATCACCAGGGGGCAGTAAGGCTTATATGTTGAAAAAAGTTCCAAATATCCAAAGAATAATTAATAATGACATTCTAAAAATTGTAAATATAGTTTTCTTTAGGAGGGCAGTTTCCCCCTCCTGCCACCCCCTCCCCTGTGCTGTGTACAGCCCAGGGTCACTGTCCATTGCGAATCCCACTTCCACACTTGGTTAGGTTCAGCATTTGAATTTCGCATGTGATTGCCCATTTGTAAAAATATGCCAAACTGGCTTGGGAAATAAACATTGCTGTAAGCTAATTATAGCCTGTATTAAAATATTCTGTTAAACTCAACCAAGAATGTATTACATGTCCTCCAAAACTGATTAATGTTGATATGTTTATCTCCTGAGAAATTTAATACCTTTTCACCTGCGGGACTATTAATATTCATGCTTGGTTGAGTTTACTATAATAGCTTGGGGCTTTTTAATTGGGGCTTCGGTGGCCAAGTGGTTAGCGCACTTGCCTGTCACCTCTGAGGCCGCAGGTTCAAGTCAGTGAGAACTTTCTCAATGCGACTCAAACCCAGTCCTCATGTGAAAAGAATAAACTGCAACACTCTGCCGAACGTCACAGGTTTTCCCCGGGTACTCCAGTTTCCTCCCACATGGAAAGTTGACAGGGTGGGTTGGGTAAAAAGGGCTCACAGTAATTGGCATATGCTGTTGTGGTGACCCGGCCCTAGTTGGCAAAGCTAAATAGATAGATAGCTTTAATTAGCTCACAGTAGTGTTTATTTGTCAAACAGGTTTGACATATTTTTACAAATGGCCAATCACATGCGAGATTCAAATTCTGAACCTATTCAAGTGTGGAAGTGGGATTTGCAATTGATATGATCAGAGGCTTTCCATTCTCACCTCTTGTTTCTTTTACCTTGCAAAAAACCATGCCTGTAGAAAGTAGGAAGTTATGGAGCGACGCTACCTCCAAAGTCTAAAGGGCTAACTCCACACCAAAATATACACTTGAGTAACTTGTGTAATTCAACAGTTGAAATATGAATTCTGGAGTTACTGGCTAACTCCAAAAATCATTTGGAGCTAAGTATACAACTGCAAAAATAATTTAGGAGCTAGGCATCTAAGCCTGGAGTTACTGGCTAACTCCAATAATCATTTGGAGCTACGTATAACTCCAAAAATCATGAAAAAACAAGGTATCTAAGCCTTGAGTTACTGCCTAACTCCAAAAAGTATGTGTATAGCGAGGGGAGTCAGCCTATAGCCGCTAGGTACATACATGTAAGGTTGAAGTTACTTGCTGTGTTGCTAACTCCAAAACTCATTTGGAGCTTGTTATCTAAACCAGGAGTTACTGACTAACAGGAATAATTGGAATAACTGCAAGAACTCTCAGAATGCACTTCTATATTCCGCTGTATTAAATAAGACTGAAATACCCAGAATATGCGCATAAACATGACATTGACACACTTGGCATTTTGTTCTCGTTCAGAGGCTAAATTTTGATCTGCAGTTGACTGTTGAGGCAAACCCATTCTCGTACACCGCGTCCTTGTCATGCCCTGTTGATCGTGTGTATAAGTCGGGCTCTGGGTACGAGAATGTGGCATAGTCTAGCTCCATTTAAAGATTGGCTACCTCCACAAAAATAAAATCTACAGGTATGCAAAGAACCAGGGTACACTTAAAAGTAACACACAGGCAGACCAAGTGCTGCAATTCAACTAAGGGCCTGTTTATATGCAGGAAGCCGGGCTGGCCTGCTTAGCGAGACAGGCAGGTGGGATGAATTTCTCTTGTGTTTATATGAGAAAATTTCATCCCGCTTGCTGGTTTTGACAGTTGTTAAAAATAGCTTGTGGCGGTATCTTTCATCCCAGCAACTGGGCTAGCCCGCTTGTGAGTGTTTATATGGAGAAATTTCCACCCCGGTAAGCGAGATCTCACCTCTTTTCAAGTGAGATCTCACCTCTTTTCAAGTGAGATCTTGGCAACCTGGCCAGCCCACTTGTCCATATAAACGCACAATAATTTTTACTATAAAAATAACTACACAGCGAGATCTCGCTTACCGGGCTGTCTCACTTAGCGGGCCAGCCCGGCTTCCATATAAACAAGACCTGAGTACCAGTCAGTATAAGTCCCCGCTTGCTTGAATCTAGGAAGTGTGGGGTTCATGGGGCAAAGCAGGGCCACTGAGACAAAGCCAGACATTTATACAATCCAGCAATTTTGATTATGCAGTGCTGGGAAATAAAAACTGCCTACTTCTGGGTTGGGGGAGGTGGTAATTTACATTGTCTGGTATTGTACACTGAATAGTTATGGGGTGCCATGGCATGGCTGCCAGTTCTGTTGTCTTTAAAACGACTGCTAATTCTAAACTGCAGTGATTCAAAACATTGTCCAAACATGTTCTGGAGATTATGAGTAATATTTTAACTTTGGCACACACTCATATTTTGGAACAATCTCCAAGGACGCTGACTATAAATGTATCAAGATATGTAAATATAAAATATAAGTCTTACCTGCGATTTGCCTGCCTGCGAAAAGGTTAATCCACTTGGAACGTTTTCCGTGGTTGTGGACCTACGTTCCACATCGAATGCATCCTGCCCAACGTCAGCGATTGCCCAGTTTGTGAAGCAACAACGTTGGCAAATGTTGAAGCTCTTGGAAGGTCTTCGAAAGACAGCAAATA